TGTTGGAAGGGGGGAGTGGGCATGGGTTTGTTCAAACACCTTATATGCATGTATGAAATTCTCGAAAAAGTTGTTGTAAAAACTAAAAAAAAAATAATAATGTAACATTTTATAGTTCTGTGAAAACTTTTTTTCACTTTAGTGTTTATTTAAAAATATTTGTATCTCATTTGCAAAAACTTACCTTTTTATTTATAGTTTGATTTTACATTTAAAAAGAAGATACTTCTCAGGGTAATCAAAATAAAGCTTTTGTATTTGGGGAAAATGGGAACGACTATAACTGAGGTGGAGGAAGGAGGTTAATACAGAAGGAGAGGAAGGAAAGGGAGATAAATAATACTAAGGGTACCTAAAGCAGTCATAGAAAAACATATTATTTTAAAATACAGCATTTGTGTGTGTGTGCATGTGCGTGTACGTGTGCGTGTGCATGTGCGTGTGTCTGAAAGCTATCTAACAAAAATTCCACGTAAACCTCCCTTTGAGTTGTTGGTTACAGTAGTCCAAGAGACTCCCCAAACGATGTAGGCTATTGCCACTGCCTTTGATTGTTTCTCAGTACTTCAAGACCATATTGCTGAAGAAACCACACACTTCAGATACAGGACTTAAAACAATCTAGCTGAAACTGCCCTGGAGGCCTCCTCCCTGAAGACCAGCTCTCATAGTATCAGAAGGTACTATGTAAGCTGCTAAGGGAGAAAACTTGTTAATGGTCCTACCCAGTTCTAAAGCCTATAAATCACAGCAACAACCTACATAGTAAGATACTCCTAATGGTACACTTGTGACATTTATCTTGGGGTGAACCGACAACTGACTAATTAGACTTAGTTCTGCTTCATGAGGGAATTCATGCCTGGTACTGTAAACAGAAAAGTCATAGACCCTAGAAGAAAGACCAATATAATTTCTTACTGCATTCTAAATACTTATTCTTATATCCACAGATACATACAGTTCTCACCACTCAACAAAAAAGTTTTTTGCAACATATTGAGGCTATTACAAAATTGCACAACAGGTTAAAAGGCAGAAAATAAGTGCATGTGGGGTGCCTATCCCTAACTGATACATCTACAATGATATCCTTACACCTCAGACCGGGGGAATGTTGTGGAAGAGGGGTGGACAGATTGGACAGCTCCCGGTGCTAGGGTCTTCTAGACATGGTAAGGGAGCTGCACCTATGAAATCTCAACAACATGGCTGCCTAAACAAGACCTGCAAAACAACCAGGTGACCTGTTAGTGTGGATGGGGAAACGTCACAAGGTCCCACCTTCACATAGAGAACAGGCAATCAACGGCTGCCGAGGGAGAGAGAGCAAATTTTCTCTAGGGACACGTTTCTGATAGGACATCCAATCCCAAGTCGGTAGCACCACTAAATGCAATTAGTAGATTATAAATATATATAAATAAACATATATAACGATACTCCAAGAAGTAATGAAATCGAAAGAGAGTAGGGGAATGTAGGAAGAGTTAGAGGGGAGAGACAGAGGAGTGCAAATGATGTAAATACTGTATCTGTGTGTGAATTTCTCCTAAAATAAAAAAATTAAAAGCAAACAGGAAATAATTAATAATTAATAAAAAAATAAATATAATTAAAAATTGATAACTTTCATTCTTTCAATTAAAAAGAGAAAAGATATATTTCAGATTTTTTTAGGACAAAATAAGATTTTTACCTGAGGTAAAATAACTGGATTTTTCCAGAAAAAGAAGAAGAGAGCAAAACCAGAAAGCGTAAGCCCGTCACAGGTTTGTAGAAGATAAGACTTAAAGACAGCACATGTGTTATGATAAAGGTTTTTAAATTCATAAGGTCAAGTCAGGTCACTGACATAAAACTAAAATCATTTCCTGTTTAAAACAATGAGGCTTTCTTAAGATATTTATCCCTTCTTGGTAACATTAAAAGAACTGACTTAAGAAAAAAGATTTTAGGTTTTATCATGTTCTCATCTAGGTTTGTCAGTCTTTCATTTACCTGAAAAACTGAATCCTAGACTGGGCGTGGTGCCTCATGCCTTTAGTGCCAGCACTTGGCAGGTAGAGGCTGGAGGATCTCTGTAAGCTCAAGGCCACCCTGGTCTGTATAGTGAGTTCCAGACCAGCTGGGGCAATAGGGAGACCGTGTCTCAAAAAGACCAAAATAAATAAATTAATTTTAAAAAAAGATAAAATATCTGCTTTCATTTCAGCTTTATCTAACTATTGCAAGAGAAAGATAAGATTAAAATTCATTCCTTCTTTAGGACTGGTAAAATTGTCCTTGCAGCTGTATGTTCTAGCTTGCTTTCTGTAGCTGTGACAAAACACTGACCAAAAGCAACCTGTGGAGGCAGGGTTTATTTGACTTACAGCTCACAGCCCATCATCAAGGGAAGCCCAGGCAGGATTTCAAGGCAGGAACTGAACCAGAGACCATGGGGGAATGTTGCTCACTGGCTTGCTTCCCCTGGCTTGCTCAGATATCTTATACAGCCCAGACTCATCTGTCAGCAAAAGCACAGTGGGCTGGGCCTTCCCTTATCAATGAGCAACCAGAAAATGCTCCACAGACATGGCCATAGGTCAGTTCATGGCAGGACACTTTTTAGTTGAGGTTCCCTCTTCCCAGCTGACAAGTGAAGCTAACCAGTGCAGTATTCAATAACAAAGGCTTAGGGAAAGTCGAGAAGAGTTGAAAGAGCTAAAAAGATAGCATTCTAGCACTTGCCCTTCAAAATCAGCTCAAACCCAAGGTGTGATGGGACCCACTTAAAACAATCCCTCAACTCTAATATGTCACCTGTCCTCTTGATCAGAAGGACCATGAAGACCAGAGGTTGGACTCTAACCAGAAGACATCTTAGAGAGGATGAGAGCCTGATACAGAGGTGTCTCCAGCGGGTTCCTTCTGAGGCTATGCTGCAGAATCTGTTCCCTGACTGCCTTCCCTTTGGGTAACTCTGCTGACAATTCTTTGAATTCCCTGGCTTGTAGAAGCATTGTCCTAATTTTTATTTTATCTTCATATCGTATTTTCTTGTGATTGCCTCTGTGCCCACATTTTCCATATACACAAAACACCCTGTAAAGGAGCAGAGTCCACATGATGACATCATTTTTTGCTTATTTCTGTCAAAAGCCTTTTTCCAAATGCAAATTGGAATATGTTGGAAGTCAGGGCTCCAACGTGTCACCTGGGCATCACAAATAAACTCTCATACCCCAAATTGTCACTTGGTTATTCTTGATTACAATCTATAATTCTAAAAATAACTTATTTGCCAACATTAGTAAAATAGCAATTTTCACTATAATGTAGGATCTGCCTTTTGTAATACAGAAACTTGCATGATTAATAGTTTTCATCCCCACATGGCAATCATTTCTATTAATAATAATTTAGCTTACATACAAGTCTTAATTTTAGGTCAAATGCTACTCAAGATCCATGAAGTTGTGTCCTGTGGGAACTTACTAGTAAGTGGTAGTTACTGGATTTATATAGCATCTATTCTTCAGAAGAGAGAGAAATACGATACTCCCCCAGTGCTCCTGTTTCCTGCACATTCACAGCAGAGTTAATAATACCCAAGTGTCTTCCTCAAGATCATAGAGATGTTGTGAAGCCTCATTAAGAAGCATCACTCCTATCCTCTTACAAGAAAGGCATACAGAGTGTTTGTAGGCATCTTTAGCTTCTTAGTCTCACCTTTGTTAAGGTTCATTTGAGTTCATTAGTAAGAAAGTACTTAAACGCAGAAGGGCAGCATCTGGTTTTGGTAGGCCTCTGTGACTTCTGATCACAGTATTACCGTCCTTGTTTCTGCCAAAGCCTTATACGCCTAAACTGATTGTGACTGCTCACTAAGCATTTTGTCTTTAGAAACGCGTCTTAAGGACGAGGAAGATGAGAGTCTGTTTACATGAATGTGCCGAGGGACCAGAGCAAGGGGAGTACAGGCAGGAAGCAAAGGCTCTAGAGGGCTGAAGAATCCTGACGTTTTTTTTTCCCAGTCCCACCCAAATGCTTCTCAGGTGTGGTGAATCCCAAATGTTCCTTCAAATTCACGAGCGTGTGGCCTAGCCCACACACCGACATCCTTAGGACTGATCCTGGTTTCCAAGAGCCCATGGGGACTTGAGAAATCCTAAGACACGCATGCGTCTACTTCCTAAAGTCGAAACGCACAGAGGAGCTAGGAGAGGAGATGCAGAGGACCACAGGTGCGGTCACTGAGCTGACCAGGGTGTGCCAGGAAACTTCTGTGAGAACATTCCTAATGGTAGCATAATAGCTTGGGCATCTGGTGTCGGAAAGATTAGCATCCATGAAGCCACGGGCTCAGGGGGCCGAGGCACCTGGTGGGGACACAGTGGGACCTTCCTTACCCCTCACTCTAGTCCTACAGGTGGGCGCGTGAGCTTGCGGCATGCAGGTTCACGAGATTCCCGAGTGGACCAAAGAGGATCCCAGGGATCACAAGGCCTTGCTTCCCACGGCCCTACCCCCTACCTCGCTCAGAATCCACTCTGCCTGGAACGGTGGGCCTCTCACCTGCACACGCATCGCCCTTTACCTGCTCTTGTGGGGTCCCTCACAACGCTCCGCCCCTCACCTGCACATGATCCACCTCTTACCCCCTTACCCGCGCACTCAGGGACCCTCACTTGCAACGACCCCACTTGCCCCTGCCCCGCCCCCTACCTGCTTATGCTGGTCCCTCCCTTGCAACTCCAGTCAGGCCTCTTACCAGCAAAGCCCGGCCCTCCCCAGCCCTGTCCCGTCCCTCCCCTCTCCCCTCTGCACCGCTCCGATCCGGCGCTTCTGCCAAGTGCTCCACCGCGGCGGTATCCCCCATCACCCCGCTCCGCCGCCCTCCTCGCCCCTCCCTCCCCGCCCCCGGAGGCTGGTCTCGGAGGCAGAAGGCCTGTCTTTATCCCTGTCCAGCCTATGGGGAGGACCTCTCCCTTCCCGCCGCCCAATGGGAGCCGCGGTGGCCGCGCTCCGCCCGCGCCGTGCGTCGGGTTAAAGCCTGGCCCCACGCAGGACCGCGCTGGTCACATGCCATGTGGCGCTTCGGAGGGCGGCGGGGACTGGGAGCCCTGCAGCGGCTGAGTGGACGGTGGGACACCCTGGGGTGATATCAGATGGCGGGACCGGGAAGGGAGCCGGGGCGGGGGCCACTAGCATGGGAGCCGGGGGACCAGGACGAGAGCCTGGGGGACCAGGATGGGACCAGGACAGGACCTGGGGAGACCAGAATGAGAACCGGGGGGACCAGGACGGGAGCCGGGGACCAGGACGGGAACTTGGGGGACCAGGATGGGACCAGGGCAGGGCCTGGGGAGACCAGAATGGGAACCGGGGGGACCAGGACGGGAGCCGGGTGCGAGAGGGCCAGAATGGTAGCTGGGGGGACGAGGATGGGACCAGGATGGGAACCGGGCAGACCTGGACAGGACTAGGACGGTAGCCGGGGGTCGGGGGGTGGGGTGTCCAGGATCGGACCCCTGCCATCCTTGGGCACAGTGCCACTGCTTCTTTTCCAGGCTCCTGCACCCCGACCCCTAAATGTATGTGCCTTCTGGAAACCCCTCTTCTGGGCTCCCCAACCCAGGTGCCTCTAACCCTAACCAGAGGAGCCCTGTTTGGCTGTAGAGTGGGCCTTCCGTCCTCTGAAGATGGCACAGCACCATCTACCCTAGGGGGCTCCTGACCCAGCCACCAGCGTCTGGGTGGTGCATCATGCTCCAAAGGGGAGCCAGGTCCCTCCCACTGTCCTGACCCACTTTCCCTTCTCCAACCTCGGGAGATTCTGAGTGGATGGTCCGGAGTGTCGATTCTCAGGGCTGTTTGAAGTGAAGATAGGCTTTGATGTGTATTTTAACTGTGTCATAAAAGTAAGAGACAGTTTATGTCTCTCATTAATGGTTTTGCTCCTGTCCACGGGCTATGCTTAACCTGCTATATTCTGCTGTAGCTCCTGGAGCTGAACATTTCTTAGTGACTCATTTATGGAAAAAAAAAAAAGTATTTAGCTTTCATGCTAATCTGCACACCCTTATTTTATGGTGTAGCTAAGCTGCAGTTAGTCTACCTGAGGAAACACAGGATGCCTTCCGCTGTGGGAGGATGGGCTTTATGAAGTGTTTGAATTTGATATCAGTAACTTGGTGTGTGTGATTAGAGAATATAGTTGAGAGAGGATCCAACTGTTGTCTCACAAGGTTGTCATACATACTGTGCTGATGATCCACAATCTCTTGAAGTTTCCCCTGTCCCAGTCTAGAATTTGCTGTCAGTAAGGAAATATAGCTTGCTTTTAGCATATCTCTGATATTGCCAATGAATTAGTGGGTTTTATATAGATTTGTTTTTATTTTATGTGTATGAATATTTTGCCTTCCTGTGTGTATGTGCATGGTATTTGTGGAGGCTAGAAGAGGGTGTTGGATTCCTTGGAATTGGAGGTACAGACCTGTGAGCTGCTGTGTGGGTGCTGGAAACTAAACCCAGGTCCTCTGCAAGAGCAGTAAGTGCTCTTAATTGCTGAGTCATCTCTCCAGCCCCCAGATTTTAATTCTTTGCCTCTGTTTTAAGTAGTCATTCTCCCAGACTTAAATGATTTCTTTGCTTTTTTCTTTGTATTTTTTTTTTTTTTTTACCACCGGTATACATTCCTACCTGTGTATTGTATTTTTTTTAATTCTTGTTTTTTTGTGGTTTTCAAGGTTAAAATGGAAACTAGTTTTCCAAAATGTCCAAGATCTTGGGAGATGTGTGACATAAATTTCCTTTAGACAATTATCTTTATCTCATGGGACTATCTCCATTATACTGTTGAGGTATATTAACCAAAGAACTTTCCTGAAACCTTACTAACTTTGAGAACTTAAATCCAGCAGGACACACCGCAATGTATGGAGGGGTAAGAGTGACCAGGCCTGTGAGAGAGCGCTGCAGTATAAAGTGGGGGAGAAGATCCACGGGTTCACTGTAAACCAGGTACCCACTGCCTGTCTGGCTGTGTTCTTCATGGATGAGGTTGCTGAAGTGTGCAGCTTCAGGTGGAGGATGAGGGACTTCCTTGGAGGGGAGGCTGTAATTCTCTTCCTTGAGTTCCCAGGCTCTGGTGTCCTTCCTGACTGGTGACAGGTGCACCAAAGAGTTTGCAAATGAAATGATGCTCCAGCCTTTACTTGTATTCCGAAGCCTAAATCATTTCAGATATTAGAAAATCTGGGCTTTTAGTGTCTTTGTAATCAAACACTGATGTCCTGCAGCCAAGGCTGGTGGTTCACTCGGTAATCAGCACAGATGCTGTTCCCTATATCTATTTACTCATGTTCTGTTTTCAAATAGTTTGCTACAAACTTAAGTAGAAAATAGTAAGCTATTTGGTTTCAGAATTATGGAGAAGAGATTGTGAGCTAGTATTTCCTTGGTTTATGTTAAAGTGGATTTGTTCTTTTTCTTGTTTTTTTTTTTTTTTCTTGAATGCTTTATTTTCACATAGCTTTTTAAATTTAATGTAATTGTTGAAAAATCTGGACTGGCTCAGCTGTCAGAGTGCTTGTCTAGCATACTAGAAGCCCTGGGTTCAATCCCCAGCACCACAAAATTCTTTCTAGGTTGTGCATGTCTGTAATTCCAGCACTTGGTGTAGAGGCAGGAGGATCGGGAGTTTAAAGTCATCCTTGGCTATTTAGCAAGTTTGAGACCAGCCTGAGATACATGAGACCCTATCTTTGTGTGTGTGTGTGTGTGTGTGTGTGTGTGTGTCTGTCTGTCTGTCTGTGTCTGTGTGTATGAGAAAGAAATAGAGAGAGAGAGAGGACCCATCCATACTTGTCTTGTATTTGGTTGTTGGCTTTGTGCTGTGCTTGATGTTATAACATATATAAGGAGGCAAACAGCTTATAAGCTAGAAAAGCCTGGTGCAGCAGCAGTGAAAAAATAAGGCATAGCATAGCTGCTGCAGGTTCTCTGTCTCTGGGCCAAATGTGAGCAAGGTCAGGAAAGCTGAGGAGTTAGCTCCAGGCAAGGTCTCTGAGCAATGAATCATGCAAATGGGGTCAGAGCATTTACAAACACCCCCGAGGCCATGCAGAGAACTTCAGATTTATAGTACCAGTTGCTGTTAATAAGGACCTCCTCAGATTGGTAGATTGAGTGTTCCCTTTAAAAACAAAAAACAGAGAAAGTGATTCTTGCTTGAAAATAATTCCTGTAGGGTCTTATCAGGCAGGCATCACACTGTGTGACTTGTTTTATACACACTGACTGTCAGTCTGAGAAATCTTGGAAATACACATAGTAATTTACCAGCAGTAAATTTTGCAGGTATCAGCAGCCCATGTTATGTGTGTCGTGTGTGTCAGGGCCCCTAAGTCCAGCTCAGGAGACTCAGTTTTAATTGCAGCTCTACAGAAGCTTCTTGTAGAAAAGCAAACAGGTTATATGTATGGTCCTAGAGAAAGGGGGGTGGTTTCGGTATGATTATCATAATATAATAATCAAAGGAAGAGGGTTGGTTGGTGTGGATGGAAGACAGGACCCTTTGTGTGAGTATGTGTGAGAGTTTTGCATGTACATGTTTCTGTATGGGTGCACATACACACAGGCAGGCAAGACTTCCATCATGTTTTGAGATAAGGTTTCTCATTAACCTGTAACTCACTGATTTGCCAGGCTTACTGAGCTCCAGGGATCCTCCTGACTCCACGCCCCTCTCCCGCCCTCTCCCTACCCCACGTGCCAGCACTGGGGTTACAGACACTCACCCTTGACTTTTTTGTGTGTGCTGGACATTGAGCTCATTTTCCCACGATTGCATGGCAGGCGCCTTATGGGCTGAGCCATTTCGCTGTGTCCCAGGACCCTCTTTAATACTTACCAAGGACTATGGAAATTTACTAAAGTATGAGGTCGTTCCTCCCATCTCTCTCTGCTGCTGCTGCTCCTCCTTGTTGAGTGAGGTGACATGCACTTTTTATTGTTAACATTTATTTCCTCCTGGCCCTTACCTATGTTTTGAGGGTCTTGGCTGTGAGCATAACAAACTGCTAGGGATGGGTAGCAGGTAACAACCCTAGCACGCTCCATCTTTGGCTAGATGAAGCAGAATTCATTCCTGGGTGCACCCTTCCCATCTCCTGGGAAGCTGCCCTTGTATTTACCTTCCCTGCACAGGGGGGCTGTTTGCACATTAAATGAGATGTTATGTGGAGACACTAGAGCCTCGGCCCAGCCGCAGCGCGTGAGCCTCGATACTTCATTATGACATAGCTTAATGGGAAAAGCATGGGTACCAGGTAGATGGTGGCCTATGGTCGTCACTGTGAGCTTCAGTCCCTGTCCTCTGTGAATGAGGACAAGGATGAGAGTGTGTCCCTCGAACTTTAGATGTGGTGGGTTTAGAAAATGCTTGGTGAATGGTAAGCAATTAAAGCCAAACATTTATGTTTTCTCATCATCTGTTTAGCTCATAATTTCCTCCTTGATGAGATCAGACATCTTGATGAGATGGTCTGTCCCAGGCTTGAACTACCTGCCTCCTGGCATCTCTCTTTTTCTACTTTTTTTTTTTGTCTATTTGAGACAGGGTGTCCCTATAGCTCCAGCTAGCCCGGAACTTGCTAGGTAGACTAGGCTGGCCTCGAACTCACAAAGGTCTGCCTGCCTCTGCCTCCCAAGTGCTGGAATTAAAGGCATGCATCACCAAGCCCAGCCCTGACATCTCATTTAAGGCAGAAAAGCCAGTTCTCTGTGTTGAAGGTAGCCATCCTACCGAAGTCTGCTCATGATTTTCTTCTCTCCCCAGGTCACTTCTGTCCCTGAGCTGTTCCTGACCGCAGTGAAGCTCAGTCATGACAGCACAGGGGCCCGATACCTGCACTTGGCCAGGGAAGACAAAAACAACTTGTTCAGGTATTTGATCCTTGTAGGAGAGTGCTTGTGACTGTCTCTGTTTAAAACATCTACTAATCATTACGTTGTCCAGACTAATGCCTCATGAACATTTTGTGTTTATTGATGGAGCATCCTAAAACATTCAGGAAGAGATTGTGCAGGGCTTGGTGGCTTGCCTGTAGTCCTAGCACTGAGAAGGACAGGCAGGTGGATTCCCAGAAGTCCCAGGCCAGCCTGGGCTGTGGAAGGAGACCTTGTTTTGATCTTCCTCCTCCCTCTCAAAAAATATGTATTATATGAAATCACCTAAAGATTATATCATCTAAATACATTGAAATTTTACAGTGATTTCACACATTGTAGCCAGGAAACATTTTATTTTTATTGGAAGATTATGATGTTAGAAATTGTCTTTGGGCCTGGAGAGATGGCTCAGCGGTTAAGAGCACTGACAGCTCTTGCAGAGGACCCGGGTTCGATTCCCAGCACCCACATGGCGGCTATGAACCATCCTTAACTCCAGTTCCAGGGGAATCCGAAGCCCTCTTCTGATCTCCGTGGCATCGCACGACATGGGTGCACTCACATACATGCAAGTAATACACTTATACACATAAAATAAAAAGAATAAATTAAAAAAAAAGAAACAAAACAAAACAGAAATGATTGTCTTTAATCACCTCAGGTGGTCACAAGTTCAGGAATTCCATTGCATGGTGTTAGGCTTATCCCTTCCATTATTTGGTGCATCATTTCTCCTTTGCCCCCAGTGTCCAGTTCCGTACAACGCCGATGGACAGCACTGGGGTTCCCCACGTTCTTGAGCATACCGTCCTCTGCGGCTCTCAGAAGTATCCATGCCGAGATCCTTTCTTCAAAATGCTGAACAGGTCGCTGTCCACTTTTATGAATGCCTTCACAGGTAAAAATGACGTCCTGAGACAAAACCATGTCCAGCAAGACCGATATCCTGAACCAAAACTGTGCTGGGTTAGCCGGTGACAAACAGGTTAATAAGGCTTCGAATAAGAAATAAGGACTAGATGTAGTAGAATAAATTCTTATCAGTCCCTGGACTAGAGGAAAGATCTTGTACAGATTATTAAAAACTACAGTTTTCAGGGCTGGGGAGACGGCTTGGTAAAGTGTTTGCGACACAAGCCTGAGAACATGAGTTTGGAAGACCTTGAGTTGGTCTGGGGTAGTTGAGGCACCCGGTGATGAGCCGACAAGGTGTGGGGCTGCTGCCTTCTGTTTCCCCTGTAGGTTAAAGTTTAGCTGATGGATATCAGGAAGTTAGACTAAGTTAAAGTCATAAATTTCTTTTGGGGCATTTCCTATACTTTAAAATCTTTCTCTTCCCTTTTCCCCAGCTAGTGATTACACGATGTATCCGTTTTCCACACAAAATCCCAAGGACTTCCAGAACCTCCTGTCTGTGTACTTGGATGCAACCTTTTTCCCGTGCTTGCGAGAACTGGACTTCTGGTGTGTAAGGACACATTGCTTGATGTAGATGTTAGTCCCGTCACTATTATCTTCACTTACCCACTTATCATCTCTGTAGGCAGGAAGGCTGGAGACTGGAGCATGAGAATCCAAGTGACCCTCAGACGCCCCTGATCTTCAAAGGAGTCGTCTTTAATGAAATGAAAGGCGCGTTTGTAAGTGTTCTTCCTTGTTTCCGTTATATTAAAATTGTCTCTGAAAAACAAAGTTGTGCATATGTGTATGCATGTTGGCGTGTGTGAGTGTAGGCACTAAAATCCCACAATGCTCATGTGAAGTCAGAGGACAACCTCAGTGTCAGTTCCCGCCTCTTACTGTCTCTGAGGCAAGGTCTCTGTCATTTTTCACTGCTGTACATACTGGAATATCTGGCCCATGAGCTTCCAGGGATTCTTCTGTATGAGTGCTGGGATTAGAGAGGCGTGCTAGCACATCCAGCTCCATGTATGGTCAGGGGAGTCAAGTGAGACCCTCATGCTTGTCCAGCAAGTGCTTTGCCTACTGAGCCATCTTGGATTATGGTTTACATGTTGATATTCAATAGTCTCCCATTGGGGATGACTTTGAATTATCTGGAGTCAGATTGGGAACAGAAATCTGACTGGAAGGATCAGGTTTCATTGTCCATGCTCTTGAATGTGAAGGCCTGCCCTGGTCTGTCCTACTTGCTCTGAAGTGCATGGGATGGCTTCCCTGTCCCAGGCTGCTCTGATTCTTGTGGCCCCTTCAGCTGCAGGATCTTTTTATCCTTTCACACTCCATCTGGTGGTGTTTTGTCTAAGGCACCTCATGACAACTATGTCCTCATGTCCATACGGCTTGTAGTGGACCAAGGATTCCTAGCATATCCATCCTAACCCCACTGCGCCCTTTTCTCTGGCTGCAGCTGTGTTCACCCAGCACATCTGGAAAAATAAGTTGCTTTTCTAAGAAAGCCGGTTTTCAGGTCCCATTTACAGATTATGAGTAGGTCGAATGCTAAATTGAACTGCAAATGTGTGGATGTCTTATCATAAATCTGTTTCATTTATAAGTCATTACAGGTGTGTATTCTCGGATGTGATAGATGTATTGTGATAGTAATTTTTTTGTAGCCACGTATTACTTGATAATGGCTCTGAGAAATGTAGTCACATTATTTTATGATGATCTTAGCATGTACTTAAATGTATATTTTACAAGCCAACCACCTACCCTAGGCTGAATTCTGATATTACGAGGCCATTATGTATGTGGTCTGCTGTTGACAGTGATGCTTTTATGTGCCATGTGACAGTATTTTATTAGTATTTTCATTAACTTATTTATTTTCTATTTCAAGACAGATAATGAGAGGATCTTCTCACAGCACCTGCAGAACAAACTTCTCCCTGACCACACGTACTCTGTGGTCTCCGGAGGCGACCCACTGTGCATCCCAGAGCTCACATGGGAGCAGCTGAAGGAGTTCCATGCCACTCACTACCACCCAAGTAATGCCAGGTAGTGTTTCATTGTAGAGGCTCAACCGTGGGCCAGGAAGTGACTTGTTTGCATTCTGACACTGAGTGCTGTCACTTCCTGTTTAACAAAAACTGTTTGCTGAACAGGTCTGTAGCTCCAGATGAGATTTTGTTGTGTTCATTTGCCTGTGGGACTTGCTGGGCATTCATTGTAAACATCTGCAGTGACAACTCTCAGTTGGTCCAGGATAATGGAGTCCTGGTTCCCGATCCTGTCTCTGTGTCACAGCCATGTCACGTACACATTGGGACTGGGGGCATCTGCTCTGCAGGACTAATTTTCAGCCTACTCATAAGGCTTTCCGTTGTCTTTGGCACCCTGAGGTGCTCTGTAAATAGTGGGTGGCAGTAACTGAACTGGTGATGATAACTTTTAGAAAAAGATAAAGATCACCTCTGTCATTTGTAACCTTTTTCCCTGATGGTTACATAAATGCATGTGTTAGAAGCAGGGTCTGGAATTTGTAGCCTAAAGTTGAATTTTGAGATTTTTTTTTTTTTTAAGTATTTAATTTTTTATTTTATGTGTATGAGTGTTTTGCCTGTACCATGTCATGCAATGCCTGCAGAGGCCAGAAGAGGGCGTCAGATCCTCTGGAACTAGAGTTATTAGATGGTTGTTAGCTGCCATGTGGGTGCTGGGACCTGAGCTTGGTCCTCTGTGAGAGCAGCCCAGTCTTAAGAGCTGAGCCGTCTTTCCTGTCCTGAGATTCTTTATTTTTGGCTATCTATAGACCACATCCTAAAGTGGTTTTATGTGGTCATTCCATTTTTATAGTGCCTTTATAGCAGATTTAAAAGAAAACTAAGTAGTTTTTGTTGTATTAAATAAGTCCTTCTGCATGATTTGAGTTTTGTTGAAACCTACCAATCTGTATTAAAAGTTTAAGCTTTTTGTTTAATGTTTGTAGTCAGACTATCTGAAAACAAAATACATCCCTTCATAAAGTTGACTTCCATTCGGCAGTTGGCGTGCACGGTGCACCCTCCACCTCATGCAGGACGCCTTCACGGTGGACTCCTGTTCGTTTCAAACAGTGTACGTCATATGCTCCCTGAACATTTTAGGTTCTTCACATACGGCAATTTTCAGCTGGAACAGCACCTGAAACAAATTCAGGAAGAAGCACTGAGCAAATTTCAGAAAATGGAGCAAAGTACTGTGGTGCCAGCCCAGAAACACTGGGATAAGCCAGTAAGTGCTCTCTTCATCAGCGTTTTATCCTTCCTGTCAAATATATTGAAATGGGGATTTCAACTATGCGGGACTGATCGTATTTTGAGATGTTATCCTGGACTCTACAGTATGGAGTAGCTTTTCAGTGATTACTGTTAACGGGAAAGTTAACTTAGCGAAAAGCATTTTTCATGTCCAGATAACCTATGGTTATTTAAAGCCATTTGCCTTCTTTGCCGTCTTAAAGCATCTTGTCATTTTGTAGAGAGAATTCCATATAGCCTGTGGTCCGGATTCATTAGCTACGGATGCCTCTAAGCAAACAACCGTCAGCGTTAGCTTCCTCTTACCAGAGTAAGTATTTGTTGTTAACAGTTTATGCTGGCAGACAGTACCAGACAGGCATAACTTAATGGACAGGTGGTAGGATTCAGGAATCAAACAGGTTTTAAGAATCCTAGAGAATTCACCAGACAGGTATAACTTATTAATGGACAGGTGGTAGGATTCAGGAATCAAACAGGTTTTAAGAATAAAGAACAAATGTCAGGGTTTTAGTAACATCAGAAATGAGGTTGGGGGAAGGTCAGAAACAAGGAAATTTTTTCTTATTTTACACACACGTACATTTATACAGGATCTTATGCAGCTCAGTCTGGCTCTGAGAGAGCTATGTAGCCAGCGAAGAGACTGCCTTTAGAAGACTTAGCTTTTCAGGGGAGTCACAGGTCCACTTTAAGTATGAGAGGGGCACTGAACACTTGCCTCAGAAAAGTGTGTGTGTATGTGTCTGTCTGTCTGTCTGTCTGTCTGTCTGCTTGTGTACAGAGGCCTGAGGGGACCATAGGGCATCCAATCCCTTGGAACTGGAGCTACAGGCATTGTGAGTGGCCTGATGTAGGTGCTGGGACCTGAACCTGGGTCCTCTACAAGAGCAATAAGCACTCTGTTCTAGATTGTTTCTCCATTGCTGTGACAAAACACTCTGAGCAATACCAACTTGGGGAGGAAAGGGTTTATTGTCTTATATCTCCTGGGTCACAGTTCATCACTGAGAGAGCCCAAGGTAGGAACTCGGCAGGAATCTGGAGGCAGGAGCTAGAGCATAGGCCATGGAGGAACGCTGCTTACTGGCTTGTTCCCCTGGCCCCTGCTCAGCTTGCTAAGCCTACCTTCCCAGGGGTGGCACCACTCACAGTGGACTGGGCCCTCCCACATCACTCAACAATCAAGAAGATGCCTCACAGACATGATCATAGGCCACTCCAATGGAGGGAGTCCAGCTGTCCAGCACACACTCTTAACTGCAGAGCCATCTCTCCAGCCCCAAATATGCTACACACAAAATTTTCTAACTAATTATAGCAATTTCCTGGAGAACAGCCTCTACCACTCTCCCCAGCTCTAGCCGCCCCTCAGTAACTACCCAGTTTGGACCTGTCACTCCCTGTCATTGTGTTTCTTGATGTTAACTTAATACTATGGCTATACCTGAAAATATCTGTCAAAAGACATGAAAACTATCTTGTGGCAGCATTTGATGTGTAACTAAATTAATTTTATGGTTTAGGGCCAAAGAAGAGAAAAATCTCACATAATTATTGAAATACAGTTAAAATGTGAGAATTTCAAGTGGAACTTAACCTTGATTAGAACTGAGTTCAATCCCCAGAACTCACACACAAAGCTGGGCATGGTGGTATGCACTTTAGTCTCAGGGCTTGGGGAGAGAGGTTGGTGAAGACAGGAGGATCCCAGGCACTCACTCCATATTGACAGGGTCAGAGTTCTAGGTAAAGATGAGAGGGCCTGTCAAAAAAACCAAGGTGGCACCTGAGGAACAACAGGTGAGGTTTATTTCTATTCTCTACATGCATGTGTGCACACCTTAGCATGCCTGCACACACACATACCTACAATCACATGTACACATACACATTAAAAAAGATAATTATAGTCACCAACAATTTTCCTTGTTCTCACCTGTGCTCATTCATCTCCCTTTGTTTTTTCTCAACATAGTATCACCGACACATTTGAAGCCTTCACATTGAACCTTCTGTCTTCCCTCCTGATTTCTGGGCCCAATTCCCCATTTTACAAAGCTTTAATTGAGTCTGGACTTGGTACAGACTTTTCTCCTGATGTTGGGTAAGTTTTAGTGTGATTAATTTCATTGGTTTGATTGGTTGGTGGTTTTAATTTATTGATATAGGTTTGATTTAGTTGATTGGGTTGGTTGATTTGACTGATTGATTGATCTCTTTGTTTGGTTGATTGATTGCCCAAGTAGACATTACGCTTTGAGTCCTTCTGCCGGATAGAGGACTGAGCCACCAGGCCTGGATTTATTGTTACATCAGTATTATTTACTGACTGTTAAAGAATTTGCATCAAGTATTCTTTAGAATCTTAAGGTGTTGTAAAACTTAGCTGTTTACTGTTTCTATATTTATTTTACCATACCATAGACGCTTAAGTTGTATTGATTGCTAGAAATCTTTAAAAGGATATGAGTGTGCATTTGACCAGTTGCACCTTAAGAGTATGTGAGGTCATTGCATTACCACATTGCCTCAACACAGTCTTTGGTAGGATCCTGTACTGAAAGTCCTTAATCATGATCTGTATGTAAAATATATTCCAAGTGAAAGGTAAAATGCCTGGATTCTGACACACTGTCTGGTTTCCTGTTCTAGATATAATGGCTACACGAGGGAAGCCTACTTCAGCATCGGTCTCCAAGGGATCTCGGAGAAAGATGTCAGGACAGTCAAAGAGCTCGTAGACAAGACTATTGAAGAAGTCATTGAGTACGTGTGGCTGTCATGATGACCAGCTTCCATCTTGTGTCCTGTGGGGAGGGGCCTGAGACTTCCCCATTGCTGACCTCCTCTGGGTGTAATGCAATGTGATATGTATGGTTGAGTTTAGTTGATTTTCTTATTGGACTTTTATTCAGTTTTTTAGTTAGCATACCATGTAGTGTGTGTGCTGATGGCATCTCCATGCATATGTGTCATCTGTTCTTACTAGTCCCCCTCCACCTCCTCCCCGTCCTCCTTTTGGACGTCTTGCTGTTCCCCCCAACACCCCCGCTTCTTGTCGCTTATAATTTAGTTGTTCGAATACCACCTCTGCTGCCTTCTGCTTCTGAAACTTCTCTTTCTTTCCAGCATCTCACTTGTCGTTTATGTTCTTTAGGAAAGGATTTGAAGATGACCGGATTGAAGCTTTACTTCATAAAATCGAAATACAGATGAAGCATCAGTCTACCAGCTTTGGACTTGCCCTGACGTCAGTATGTGTCTTCTTGGTCGCTTTTGCTTTTGGTTTGGTTTTGGTTTTAGTTTTGTAACTAGTGGTTCTTTGTGTGTGTGTGTGTATGGGCGCACGTGTGTGTGTGTTTTGTTTTGTTCTTTTTTGGAGACATGGTCTTGCTATATACATTCCTGCCTCTGCCTCCTCAGTGTTGGGGTTACAGGCAAGCACCACGATGCCCACCAAAACTGTGGTTCTTAACATCACTGAAAGTATCAATTAACACTGATAGTGCTTTTTATTTGAATCTTGAGAGTGACTCTTTTGGATCAAATATAAATGTACTTATAATTTAATGTCATAGATTTTTGGGCATTTTTTATGAGCTTCCTTAATTGGCTCTGTGTGCTTGTGTGTGTGTGTGTGTGTGTGTGTGTGTGTGTGTGTGTGCACATGTGTGCCTACACACATGGATGTGGTAACCAGACAAAAAAAAATATAAGTCAATTTCTATTAATGTTATAATATTTTATATTTATATATATGTTTCTAATTGAAAATACAGGTTTGGTAGTTGGTTTTGTTGAATAGGGACATGTATGTACGTTTTCCTATATGATTGACGTCTTTGATCCTTGTTTCTCCAGATTCCTAGCCAGCTGTGCTTGGCTGTATGTTTTCTGTTGCCTACACTGAATTCTGATAGGTCACACTGTTACTGCTTTGGAAGGGTAGCTCTATTTTAATACGTGCTATTGTTTTGGACATGGAATGTGCTGATTTGATCGCTTTTCCTATGGTTTCTCTGTGCCATCGTTTTTCCTCTGTTCTTCCCTTGCTGGGTCCCACTCCCAGCCCCTTGCTTCTAACTCTCAGCCTTCTGCCTCTGCCTCTGAGTGTTGGGATTGCAGGCATGCACCATTGTGAGTTCTCGTTTTAACATCGATTCACCTACCTTTTGTACAGTAGCAGTTGAGTATTTTGTACACACGTTTAACTGATGAAATAAATAACAGACACTCTCTAAGTCACCTGCCCTTTATTTTTACCTTAGGTTCACATCTGTTTTATCCAAGTAATTTAGAAAATAATGAATCAAAAAATTTAGTTCCCGAGCTGGAGATGGTGGTATAGGTCTGTGATCCCAGCACTTGGGAGGTAAGAACAGGAGTTCGAGGTCATCCTTGGCTACATAGTAAACTTATGGGCAGCCTGGTCTACATGATAACCTGCCTTAAACAACAACAACAGCAAATTTTAATTCTCATTTTTCAAAAGTACTGGACAAAAATTAAGTTAGAATCCTATATTTTTAATTGATTTATTTTTTGTGTGTTTCATACAGAACATCGCAAACAATCTTCTTTATACCTCCATCCCCACTGGCACCTTCCCATAGCCTCTCCCCCAACCCCCTGCCACTGGAGGCCATATACTCTGTCATCCCTGTGACTGCCCATTGTGTTATCTATCAGTGCTATTTTAAGCAATCAGCAGCAACATGATTTGATATGGAAATGGACTGGAAGTGGAAGAGGAAGATGCTGAGTTCTATGTTAGTCATCTGCATGTTTTCACCTCTTTCCAACCATTATAAGACTGTGAAGGGGAACTGCAGAGATAGCTCAGGGTTTTAGAGCACTGGCTGCTCTTGCAGAGGACCCAGGTTCAGTTCCCAGCACCCACATGAGAGCTTAGCAACAATCCATAACTTCAGTTCTAGGGGCTCTGACACCCTCTTCTGGCCTCCACAGGCATTGTACCACACAGGTGCACTTATATACATGCAGGCAATACACTCATACACATAAAATAAAACTAATAA